AAAGGAGTTACTTGTTCCAGATTCATAAATTACCTTGTACATAAAATTATTTGTAAAATATTTTTTAAGTTGTGCTGTACAGTAATACATTAAAGATGCATGCTATTAGTATGTAAGAGCACTTCCATTATCTTTCTTTGAAACTATTTGTTAGCAGAACAATTTCTATACATATGTAATAAGAAGGCCAATCAATTTTAGTTTATAAATAGAAATGTACTAAAAGATACTAGTACATGTAAAATATTAATTTTTATCATGTCGATATAAATAGATGTTTCCTATTTTACTTAATACGTATACATATTGTGTGAAGGCTTTTGTTCCTCAACGAGTCTCCTACATGTGAATGATAGTTATAGATCGTTATATGTCCTCTCCCTTTGTCTTGGATCGATCTGTCGATCTCATTCTCGTCAACAATTACCCTGTTGATCAGAAACCATAATTTTTATTTGAAAGCCAACTTCACTCGATCGAAATTTTAATTCAAATTTTAATCTTTGCAATATTTTTAGAATATATCAGGTGGGTGCAAGTTCATTGCTATCATAATTTCATATTGTCGTGACAATATTTACTATACATAATATTAATCGTCAACTAGTACATTATCAGGGGGTTTTATTAACTCTATATGTAAAATAAGACTGGCCTTATAACGTTCTATACGTAAATATACATTCTCAATAATTAATGTGGGATTACATAATTCATTTACAATAAATGTTCCCATAATATTCCTCTGAAATATTTTATAAAATACATAGAAATATGTCTAGATTTACTCGCTTATAATAACAATTACAAATAATGAGAAAAACAAAATGGAATTAATTAAAATTAGTTACAATAAGATTTAGTATACCTACAAAGATAATTATATATATATGATATTGATTTCAGTCGTCCACTCAGCTAATATACATATATTACACTTTTTCTGTCTTATTTTGAGTGGATAATTTATAATACCAATTTCTACAAAATGATTTTTATAACATTCGTGCGTTTATAAAATGGACGGTTAAATTTGAATACTTTATAGAAAAATACTAGTAAATTCTTAAATTCCTTATAAGAAACGCCTGATTATGTATGAATAGCGAAAAAATATTATCTTTGGCTATTATTATATAGATTAATGAATTATAACACGATATCTATCAGTTAATGAGTGTCTCGATTTCTTTTAGTACGATTACGTAGCAACGAAGCGTCCAAGAGAGAATAGGTACCAGGTTCAAACACTGGTGGATATTCTAAACCAGGATAATCAGGCGGTGGAGATGTAGGTGGCGGTATATAAGGTAATGTTGGTGGATTTAATGAATGTCTACTTATGTTGGTAAATCCTTTCTGGCATGCAGAATAATTTGTACCATTCTGAAAAAAGATTTTTATATAAAAATAAACGTTCGATACAACTAAAGTGTGAATTTTGTACATTTGTAACATATACTTTTGTGCAAGATATAATAAAATAAAAACTTTATCTACACAAAAATGTGAGTTATTGGAATACTTACTTTTGATGTTAAGTTTGGAGAACATGGTGATGGCGTGTCTGGACTCCAATCGCTAACAGAACTAACGGAAGTAAAACTTTGACTGAGTGTTTGTGTGCTATTTCCGCTGAAGGAACTAACAGACTGGCCAATACCACTATCACCAGGACTTTGGCTATTTGATCGGCTAGGTAATCGTGATTGATTGTAACCTTTTTCTCGAAACAGTGCTCTATGTAACCTTGGCGAACCTGTGGAAATGTGAAGATTATTATTATATAAGGTAAAACAAAATTTGAAATTTTCACATCGCAGTTTTCATTAATGCAGCTTGATGGTGACACTTAATGATTTCAAATAGAAATGTTAATTTACCTAACAATGTCTTTTGTGTTTCCTTAGGAAGATCAAGTGTACAAGGTTTTTGTTGACATTTGTTACCAAATAAATTTCTCAGACGACTTGGCTTTTGGACCTGTTCACGTTTATCCAAATGCATTTCAAATGCAGCGGTCATCCCTTCTTGTTCAAATGGGGACGTTGGGATAGGTGGCGGTTGATACTGCGCTACATTTTTTAAACGCGTTTTATCAGAATCGTTATCCTTCTTATCGCCACGTCTTAAAGAATCCAACCAATGTTTATCTGATGAAGAATGTTCGCGACGACTTGTCAGGTTGAAACTTCCTTTGCGACATACAGTTGCTTCTTTCTTTGCACGATGTAATGTTTCATAAGCAGCATGATACGTAAGATCGCTACTAGATCCAGAACAACCTAAAATGTAAATTTCTTATATTTATGTTCTAGAACATTATTCATATTTTAGTATGAAACTTACCATCATTTCGAATAAGTCGTTTTGGTACTGACTTCGTATCATCCATGAAGTTGTTAGCATTTCTTGTTGAATAATAATCGTATGATCTAGAAGTTTCATTATGATTTGAAGATTGTGAGCATACACAGTTATTGGAATTGTATTCACAAGCTACACTTCCTTGTCTATCAAACGGTTCAACAATATCTGATTTGCTATGATAAAAAGAAGTTGATGGTTTGAAATCATTTGTAGCAGCAGTTCTCAAATGAGTCGAATCACAAAACTTTCCTTGTTGAGAGTTTAATCCATCCACGGCATTTCTTTTCTGCATGTAACTGGATTCACTTGATTTTTTCTGAACTGGATATTTCGATGATTCTCCTCTATTTTCATATCTTTCCAACTCAAAATCTCCACTGAATTGTCTTGTATGTAAAGTATCCATGTTTCTTGTATATCCATATGTTATAGTATTGTTAACATCACTATTTGCTTTACTTCGAGCATGTACAACATCATTATTAACTGCTGTATCAGTAACAGTTTTAGACTGATCAGTAACTGTTCCACTGTCGTGTAAATTTCTATGCTGGACATGAACATGATCACTTGTTAAAGGTGTTATATGTGGCGATACAGATCTATTTCTAGTTACTGGCCTTCGATCATCTTGCTGTGATAACATAAATTCTTCTAATGTGATAAAACCTTGCAACTCTTCCGGTCTTCTGTTTCTGCTAGTAACACACCTACATTAAACATTACGTTACTAGTCACTTTACTATGTATTTGCAAGTGAAAATATCATATGTAAGAAATATGTACAATTGAGGATGGCATAGAGGAATGTACTACAATAAGGAAAGACAATGTACAAAACAGTAAAATAAAATTAATAAAATTAATCAACGTTTTGTGCCAATTATTTTATTTCTGAGCGTGTAATGTAACAATTATTTTTAAAATTCAGTACGTGTTTTTAGTGATTTCTATAATTAAAAAAATAGTGTAATAGCAACCAAAGTTAGTGAAAAAATTGTTGGTTCTACAAACATGTAATGTACATATTTACCTGTCTGTTGTACGCCTGTAATCACCCATATCTTGAATATTACTCGACATATCAGTAGCACTTTGGGATGCACACAATCCGTAAAATGTGCTTCCTGCAATTGTCATTTGTAAGTCCGATGAATTTAGAATAGACTCTTGTTTCCTAGAAAAATAAAGATAAATTACTAATGAATCTGTACTTTGCACATTTCTATTATATAAACATACTTGTTGGGAGTAGATGTAGGAAGTACTCTTCTATAACTTCTAAATTGTGCTGTTGGAACAGGTACGTTATGATTTCGTGTACCAAGAAATTTTAAATATTTTCTGTCTAAGCTAGCACCACTCATTTCATGATCCTTATATCCGGAAGAGTCCTTGCGAACAACCTTTTTCAATGATCCAAATGGTTTTTCTAAATTTGGTTTATATTCTGGTGCTTGAATGTTTTTAACTTTGAGTTTTTGTTCACCATCGCTCTCGTCTGTTTCACTAAAAAGGGCACTGTTTCTACTATGACTATCAGCACCTAAAGTTGCTTTGTTAATTGCTTCTAACCATAAAGTAAGAGAGTCTTCAGTGTCTGCAGCAAAATAAAATACCGTTCCAGTATGATAAACTTTGAACGCATATTTTCTAGATTTTACTTCGAATGCTCGTGACACGGTAAATCCTGTAAGAGCTATCAGACAATCTGCTTTCATGCTGGTCTGAGTTTTAAATCTATAAATATAATTGAATGAGTGTTTGTTGCTCAATAACTAAAAACAAATATTACAGTTTATTTAACAAACCTATATAAGGAGGAACATTTTAAAATAAACCAAGCTTTAGCCCAAGCACCACCAGCACCTCTTGTACGGTATGTTAACCAGCCTTCCAGGTCACCTGCACCTATATCTTTAACGGAAATATTTCTTCTTCCTTGAATAGAAAAGAAACGACATAAATAATTATATGAGTAATCGATTTCTACATTCTTAATTGCTTACTTGCAAATAATATACTCCGTTTCCTACTACTTCTGGGGCTATTACTAGAAGATTTACTTAAACTTCCATGTAATCCAATACTTCTTGCTACCATCATGGCTTTATTAACCACACCTTTTTCAAAATGTTTTTCTTTTTCAGTACTTTTAGATTTATGTTCGAAGAACTGTAATTGCTTTGAAGAACATGGACCATCTAATGAATCCATATTTTGAGAATAAGATTCAGAATTGTGACCTTCGATCATTGAACTGGTATAAGGTTCGTACTTATCACAGATTGACTTATCTTCCTTTATTTGCTTATCATTGCATTCTATGAATGAAGAATCCATATTTATGCTAGGTCTACGTTCAGTGCTTAAATTATTTATTTCATCAGTACATTCAATTGATCTTTCAGTAAAGCTATTACTAGCATCTAAATAATCTTGCTTTTCTTGAAGATCTACGTTGATTTTAATATTATTTTCTGTATAATATTCTTGTTTTTTCAAATCTCTTCTAACATTAGGTCTGTGAGATATATAAAGTCTTTCTTGATCTTCCATAGGTTTTGAAATATTTTCAAAATGCGAAGTAGTTAACTTTGTATAATATTTACGTGGTGGGGGATCTGGAGGTATTAAATGAGATTTAGATTCTAGTTTCCTAGTAGATTCGATTTTTGTTTGCTCCAAATATTTGCATGGTTGTACTGTATTTCCTTGATTAACTGAATCTTTAAATTTTTTGTTATCATTTTGCACTTTTTGACTGATTTGTATCTGGGGAATGTTCTGAGTAATGTTGTGTATATTATCTTCGACAGAACTGTATTCACAATTTGTTTTCACATTTTCATGAAGTACTTTTTCTTTTATGGGTACACTAGAAGATTTTTTTTCTATTAACTTTGAATGTTCTATTGGAGCACAATTAAATGTTTGAAGAATTTTACCAAAACTACTTAAGTTCGAATTGTTCTCAATATTATTTTGTGCATAATTATTTGTTAATTCTAATTTATCTTCACTTTTTTCGTGCTTCGAAGTTGAATTACTTCGAAAATTTGTATTATTAGATGCCTGCAACGTATTTTCTACTCCAGTGTTTGAATTAATCGTTGCATTTCTTTTGACATATTTATTTACATTAGAAATAATACATTCATTATTGCTTTGGTTATTTTCTATACTGTTTCCGTGACTTTCTTCAATTACTTTATGTACAAATATTTTCGGCAAGTTGAAAGCTTGAGATGTTTCAACAAATTGTTCTTTAGTATTTTGTTCTTCATTCTTAACATTATTATCAATGATCACATGAGAACTTTGTCGTTGTTCACCAATATCTTTTAACTTTTGTTGATTATCTAAACTTGTAGATTTCAATTCAATATCAGTCTTACTCATAGATGAATTGCTTATATTATTTGCAGGTGACTCTAATGTATAAAATAATTTTTGTTTTCTGTCTTCAGCACTATTGGTATCCATTAAATCATATGCTGGTGTACTATAACTCTTATCCAATCTACCTCGTTCTTTAACAGCACATGAATTAAACTCTTTACCATTTAGGATGTTCTTATGATTACTATGCCTATCTCTAATAAAATTGTTGCACTCGTCTAAAGGCACACTTGTATCACCAAAATGATTATTATTGGTAACGTTAGCAGATTTTGGAGAAGTTTGGCTGGAAATATTAATATTATTAGTAGTTAATGTTTCTTCATAATTTTGAACACTTTTGCATTCATGTTTTCCTTCGTGTATAACATTAATCGTATTATCTGTCTGAGGAACATCGGATTTAATAGACTTTTCTTGGAACTGTAGTTTTTTATCATCGATTTGTACATCAGACCTTTTCCTCCTTTTACTCTGCTCTATGCTTAAATATGACTGTGGTCGTAAATTTGAAGGGACATTATCTAGTCCATGAGCACAAGATGCTGCTTTATCCCGTAACTGAGAACTTGTACTATGTTCCTGTTTCAGTACTTTCCAAAATTGTTCAATATCAATTCCGTGCTTAGTAGTGGGACTAGCACCAGTTATAGTAGCTCGTCTTTGAACTGAATTTCTTGGTTTTGTTGAGTATAATCGAATTGACAGAGGTGGTTCTGCCTCGCTATCAGAGTCGCTACTATCTATGATCATTGTATCTAATATATTCACTGTATCTAAAATACTTGCAGGTTCTGGACTGGGATTCTTTGGCATATGCCTAAATAATAAATTTTTAATTAATATTACTCCATATAGTATAAACGTAAAAGCAGTCAGTGGACAAAAATCATAGCAAAAGAAATAAGAACAAAATATTGCCTTATCGAATGAAAGAAAATATATACCTTGGTAATGGCATCGTAAAATCTGGTATAGTCAATAATTCTGGCCTTGGTGATGGAAGATTATGTTGCCATCTTGTTGTATATGAAGTTTTTTTATTGCTTGGAAGTCGATATGGCTTTATATAAATTTGACCATATACTTTTGTATGCCTTGGTCTACGTTTTAAAGTTAGTAATACTTCAGCAGGACTTTCACGAAATAGTTCTAAAAGATTTTTTCGTTCCCAACCAACCACAGTCTGATAATTTACCTAAAACGTTTATTAAAATAATGATTAAATACTTGAATTAATTACTGTTATGCAAATATCATATTAAAATTGAGAAAATACTTGAACTATTTCATCTCCTTCTTCCATTTTACCACACTGATGAGCAGCTGATCCAAATTTAATTTCTGCAATTTGATGAGCTCCATGGAAGGATGGCAAAATATAAAATCCCTAAAAAGACATATTTGAAAATTTGAATCTTTCATAATATAGATGATTACAAAATTTATATTCTAAAATAGTAATTTAATTATATACTATGAGACAATTATCTGAACAGGAAGTTAGAGCTGTGTTGAATCAATGATTGCACGTTTATCTGTAAAGGATGTAGTAGATAATTTCTTCCACGAGTATGAAGAATAGCATTCTATAATTTATGTTAAATATATTTAGTTTAAAGAGAAGAAAGCAGCGTGGAAAACATTATTTCTTTTTTAATGGAATAATTATAATTATTTAGAAACTTACCAAATCATCTCCTGGCTTTTTTTTTAGTGTAGCCAAATCTAAACTAGTTGGTTGTAATATCATAGGATCGGTAATATCTTGTATTATATAATCTGCTAGTTTTGCCAATTGTCCACAAATTGTTCTAATTTCTTCTATTGGTTTTTCTGCGAATCTATCTCTTTGAGCACATGTTGCCATTTCTAAAGCCAGTTTCATCAATTCAACTTTTTTATCATTATACTCTAGCTGTCCAGAAAACGGCGGACGATCAAGCCATCTCACTAAAGGCTTTACAGCTGTTATAACTGATGCTACATCGGATAATGTTTGGGTAGTAACAGGCTTAGAATCTGTTTGACGAGACAATTCATTTTGTAAACTATGTGCTTGACAAGATAATCTCAATGCCAAAAGCTGTAGATTTTCACGATCAAGCTCATAATGAAAATTTCTTAAATATTCCACAGCTTCAAGAATAATTTCCTGATGGCCAAGTTTGAGCACTCCGAGGTGTTCTAAATCTTCTGGTCTTAGACTTAATAACTGTTGCCCACTGACACCATGATTTGTAAAACTGTGTACATAAGGGAGTACAGAATTATCTAAGCCTAAAACAAAAATTATTTTCAATCTATAAAGGTTTCACTAATTTCAAAGACAAACATAATGTTAAGTAAGGAAAACTATTCTACCTTAACAAATTAAATAAATTTTAAATATTGGTAAATAATTCTTGTTTACTTTCTAATTTTATTACAAAACCTAGAATTTCGAGTATTTTTGCTGTTTCGTAAACATTATTTTCGATTAACAAGGATCATATTAGATAATATTCATTGAATCGGATGTAAACAAAGGCTTTATTAAAAACTTCAGATACGACAGTAATTTTTACTACTATTTATATGTCATTGTTACGATCGGTGTACTCTTTTTTCAAATAAAACATTATCTACGAAGTGAGCATTTCTGATAATTTCGAGTGATTAAACGAATCAAGACAGTTTTGTACAAGTAATAAAATGACTGATCAAATGGACAGAGGAGAGAAGAGAGAGGTGCGGGCATTGATGCCAAGTGTATTTTCATGACAAGTAACTTTTAATGATAAGTGAATAGCGAAAATTATTCGGTTCGAGATGTAAAGGATATATTAATTCTATCGGAAACACCATATTTCACACCTTTTAACCATTCACACACTTGATCGGTTTTCCATTCAGCAACATTAACATACGCCATGACCTGACCATCTATTCAATCACAAAATCCTACTAAAGATTTTTGTCGTCCTCGATCGTTCTAATTTCCAGCTCGCCCCGTCGATAACTATTAAATATACTTGATTCAACAATAACTGTATATATATTATCTTACATGATAGTTCGAGATAATCGCGTTACGCAGCGCTTTTGTCGCTTCCAAGCCGACAACTTTACAAATTTATTTTATAAATTTGTGAGTGTCTAGAAAATCTTTGTTAATATATCCATATGTCAATATTTTAAGACAAGGAATGATGTAAACATTTCATTATATTATCATTAAGATTATATTGATATTAAATATAACTTATTGAGTGATAAATATTTAATTTTTTTGTATAGTTGGTAGTTCTTATTCAATACCGATCAATGAATTCTAAATTGCACTACTCATGGACCTAAGAATTACTTTATTGTATCAATATATACAATTCCTTGCGACATTTTAATAATAAAATTTGAAATATATGTATATACACACAATGTACAAATACAATACTTGGAATACTTAATACATTATATTATGAATGAAAAAATTTTAAATATACTGTAATACCGAGGATAGTTATTTCCAACAATATTATTAGAATTAATACAAACTTGTTCATTAACACACGCCTTCGCATAATGTTTAATATTCTTTTGGTTTTATTCAATTCTTCATCTGTTTCTGATAATCTCCTTTTTGCTCTCAATAATCTTTCTCTTTGTTCACTCAACTCAGATATTACTTCAGTTGCTATATTTTCACTTTCGACTGCAACTGCTTGAGATCTAGCAATTGATTGCGTCGAGGATTCCAATGCTGCATTGCTTATTAGCAATGTACGGCGATGTTCCTCTTCCCAGTTGACTCCAAAATTCATTGTGACAATATTAATAAATTTGATTTACAACAGAACAAAATCATTCAAATATCAAAATCCATCATAATTTCAATGAATTCGCTTTCATTAACTGAAATCATAAACAGATGTTATATTATTATTTATATTTTTGTAATATAAAGTAAAACATGAAAATTACACTAAGTTCATTAATTTAAAATTTATTTACTAGAATCATCTTCGTCCAAATCAAACTCTTTGATCATAAGTCTCATTTCTTCAATTGTCAAGTTACATTCAAGTTTCTTGTTAATTCTTTGCAAATCTTCTAATGTTATTTTATCATACACAGAATTATTTGTAAAAATCTTAAATGCATATTTTAATTCATCTAGATAACTTCGTTTATTTAATTTCTCTAACACTGCACAAAGTTAAAATTTAAAGAAATTAATTAGTACACAATAGATTTGTATAAACACTTTTACAATTA